AGTATGGTGGTAACGTGAGGTAACTGATGAATTCTTACGCTTCGGTTCATTGCGCACCATTCCTCTGAACCGCTATGTTAGGACTGCCGTAACCTGAGAAACCCGAAATACTGCCTTGATGGGCAGGATCAGGCGTAATAAAGACCACTTTAGGGAAGCCATACGTGAAACATTACCCTCATATCGAAAATTCTGCCCATCTTCTGTGTGAAAAGTCGACACTTGATCGACACAATTTGCCCCCCTTTTCCTTACGTTAACATTGACCCGCACTCCTTATCCTGATATTAGAAGAGCCACTTTAAATGGGATCTACCGGAGCCCACAGCTACACGGGCTTTTTCTCTCCCACCCACTTCATTGAAGGCCTCTGGGCTTTTTAGGCCGCCCTTCTGCTTCCTCCCCGGGGGCGGGTACCCGGCGCTCTTAGGCCACCATTAGTCCTGCTAATGGGCCTGACAACCGTGCCACATCCTCAACATTTAGACCTCCTCCGTCTCCGATATTGATATCGACCACTTCAGTGGTGGTGAGGGGGTGAGGGGGTGGGGCTCCATTTCACATCGCACGTATGGGCATCAACACACTCACGCAGCAGTCAGAGTACCGTAAAACTGAGTAGGTGCACAAGCTCATTAAAGCAAAAAGCATAGCTTGACTCACTCATGTATGAAGGAAGGGGAGCAACAATCAAAAAGGAAAAAGGAAAATGACAAAGAATAAAATCATTAAGTTATGAGAAAAAAAATGACTTGTTTTTCCACACACAAATGTTATTTCTTTTGAAATTAAGACATTATTCTCATGATGGCGTCTTGATTATTGTATGATTTCTTTCTCATATTATTATTACTATTGTTTATGTTTCTTTTTAACATGAACCTTTTCACGCACCCCAGCTGTCCACTGTAGTTACTGTTGTCCCTAAAAGGGTCATAACGCGTTTCCACTGTCTGTTCACACAGTTGGTATGAAAATAACAACATTCATTTCAACTACGTAACTTCACAACATCCTACACCAGGGGTGTCAAACTCATTTCTGTCGCGGGCCTGATTTTAGTTACAGTTTCCCTGAGATGGCCGTTATGACTGAAACCTATAAAGAAGTCAAGAATAACGGTTGATTCAACTATTGTTTAAGTGACTGTAATGAGGGGTTTGGTAACAAGAAAATGCTTACAGTATCACTCTTATTTATTACAAATGAGAGTTTGAAATTTTGGTCAAGATTTTAGCAAGCATCGTGAAAGTTGACATTTTTGATTTGCTTTCGCATGCCACACAAAATGATGTGGGGGCCCAGATCTGGCCCCTGGGGCTTGACTTTGACACCTGTGCCCTACACGGTTTTCTTTTAACACAGGGGCATGCTTTTGATATCGCAACTTTAGTCTCATCAATTCAGACTTTTTTCTTGTTAACTTCTGACTTTTCGCATAATATTGCAGTGTCGACGGGATCTATTCTCAAGAAATCACAAATGCTGCCTTGATTCACATCTTACCACACGTTATTCTCTGATTTCATTTCCGTCCATAGAACCTCTTGTAAAATCTCAACATACTATTGTCATGCTATGACTTCATTCCCACAATATTATTTTTTTCGTGTTTTCATGGTCACCCTAATGCTGCATCATACCAATGACGTTGTGAGTTCTCGGGCTCGTGTGCGTCTGACAGCAGTTATTCTCTGCCCACATCCTTGAGACGCATTAAAATCCCGATGATCACGTTCCTCCAATACTGATTCTGGGGTTGGCTTCGATTTGAACGTGTCGCATTTTCCTGCATAAGAGGTACGCAAATCAAGCAAATTTCAAAGAGGGAATGTGCGTGAACTAGACCTCACGTCATGTATTCGTACATTTTTGATTTCGTGTTCTTTTATCCAACCTACAGTCGGATCGACTAATGATCAACTGGGCAACATTTGCACAGGAAGTCGTCCAATTCGGCGTGTCTGTATTTCATAAATGATGAGCAGTCTTGTGCAGCAGATGGCACGAAGCGCAGTCGAGTGCTTTAATTGTAAATTAATACATGTTGAGGCAGCTAAGTGGCCGTCACTCGTTGTGCACCGGGGGCCCGCGTTGCCTTATGAGATTAATTTCACGGCAGAGGAAAACCTTGAAGGAATCTGACCGCGGCGTTGGCCGCCAGTCACCGCCGTACGAGATATCGACCAACTGACTTCATTCACAAGACGTGGACTAAGCTGCTTTAGGCGCTTGAGGCTCAAGTCGGCTTAATGTACATCTGAAACTCGTACCAGAGCTTTGCCACCCACTCTGCTCGACAGCGCTGCCTTCGGTCACAACTTGGGAAACGGATGTGCTCGGAAATTGTTCTTAATTGTAAACGAGGATGGCCGATGGCCATTTTGTTGAGTGTTACTAGGCAGCTAAAGCCATCGGGTTGGTTTAGAAAACCTAGAAACCATTGACGATGCAACGTGCAATAACGTGATAAGCTAAATCGACATCATGTACTGACACTATTTCCCCGAAAATAAACTAACATGCTTCTAGGGATGGGAACAAGATTGACAGTGGGGAAAATTAACAGTAATTAATTGATTACAGGCGCCCTTGGTTAACAATGCTCCTGGCATATGTGGTTGAGATGCTACTAACAGTGCGCAATGAACTAGTTTGTCTTGGGCCGTAAGAATACGTGGTCATGCGGTACAAAAAGGCGCAATCAGTCATCATACTAAATTAGTGTTTTTCATTCAGTTTTTTTTTTTTTTTTAACTCAAGGCCTTGTTATTAACACAATCACTTACTGAAAATATGACTTTACTACTGTGTTAAGGCCTGGTGCGTAGATTCGCAATAGACTACGGTGTGGACCCACTTACATACAAAATCAGCTTCTGTTGCCTCTGTCGGACCACCACTGTGATTGTATACGAATGGAGAGCATAAAGTATGAGTGGAACGAGAGCTCTTTACTAGGGATGGGCAAGTCGCAATAACAAGTATCTGTAACTGGCTGATTCTGGTCTTTTTTCCCGGTATCGGCTCTTGGTGAAGGCTGCCAATACCAGCCACCGATACTTGCAACGTGGTGGTTTGACAGACCGGTAAATCATCATGTGTGTCACTATAAATGAAAGGTCTTCATTCAGAATTATCCATTTTTATGTGAACTGAATTTTTAGGTGGTCATGCAAATAGCCAGCCATACCACGAAATTGTTGGTGTATTAAGCTGATTGTCGGTTATTCGCTACAAGCTGACATATTCGTGATTTTGTGCTCTTTCTGAAATAACCTAAGCTGCCACAAAATGGCGTCAAGGCTCTGTCTAAATAGTATAGTTATTCAGTTGGTCCAAGGATATCAGAGATGTTGAAGTGATCCAATTTGACAGAGAGACAAGCATATTCGGGAGGAGCTCAGTTGAGCAAGGGTTGCTACTGTGAGTCTTCGCCACATGTGCACGCACTTGTTTCAAAATCAAATCAGCTAAAGCCATAAAGATGAGTTCAGTTGAAGGATGAAGTGAGATGGCTTTTAAATGACAATCAAGTATTCCGGGTTCATGGTTTGTTGTATGTGTGGTTTCAATTATGAACATTTTGAGGGTGGACGTCAATTGCTCACAGGTGTTTCTTTTTTTGCCCCCCCCCCCAAAAAAGGAATACTTAAACACAATGCAACTGCAAGCGTTCTCTTGATTTTATTTTTGAACACACACACATATACATATAGATAGATAGATAGATAGATAGATAGATAGATACACACACACACACACACACACACACACACACACACACACACACACACACATTTTTTTTAATGGAAGAGGATAATTTCTTTCTCAACGCTGTAAGCTTGTTTTCATGTCAGTATTGTACTGAGCTACAGCAGTGGTCTACTCTATGTGGATAAGTCTTTATTTATATAGACGCTTTCCCATGTCAGCCTTAACTGACATTATGTTCTTTTGTCCTCTTCAAAATCTGTACCGCATTATTGAAAGAACTATCAATAAATCGATTTCACCACGTGTGTCCCCACGTGATTAGATTTTAGTGTAATTCCTAAATTTGTCAATCTGAGAATGTGACTTTCCTGACATGTTGTAATCAATGAAAAACTAAAACTAACAACTATTGTACAGCATCTGATCATGTAATAAATGTTGCCCACTCACCATCCATTGCAGCATTTTCATCTTGTAAGGAGGTTTCCTATATCTATGACCCCTTGACAAGGTTCCGTTTTTTTCCCCTCTAAATAGGGTTTTCCTTGCCCAGATAGGAGGTTTAGACCGGGTGGATGTCATTGATTTTTTTGTGATCTGTGGCCTGTGAAGCCTTACAAAACGTTTTTTTGTGATTAATGGTTCGATGAACTTGAGTTGGTAGTGGAAAATGTGATTTGTGCAAACAAATTAGATGTGCATGTCAATGAGCTATCAATAAGCACAGTGGTGAAAGTAATTTGGAGAAGAAAAAAAGGGGAACAAATAGCTCACTGAGGGCATTGTGGCTTCCCTTTTTATCTCTAATTTGTGTTGTTCGTGTTCAGTTTGATTGTTAGAGAATAAGTTGACCTATCAAAGTCCAGTAGAGGGACAAAGTAGTGAAACTGATCGTTGGAAGGGGGTTCAACAAAAGGGTACTTTTTTACATGCGACTGTAGGCGATGTAGTACATGTATTGTAATAAAGCGGATAAAAGATTTTAGTAGTAACTCGTAGCTAGCTAATGGTGCAAACACTATCCACGTAGACCGATAACAGGGCCAAATTGGAACATTTTCGCTTCCCTTCCCATCATAGTCAGCAATAACCAATAGAGATATGGTTTGGTGTGCTCTATTGGTCATTTTGCACAAAGGTTAAGGTTGCTAAATACGACTAACGCGTGCGTTGTTAAAACACACACACACACACACACACACACACACACACAATTGCACAGTACAGTAGTAAAAAAATGACATGGAGGTTAAACATGAACTAACAAAGAATACAGTTCCTACCTGGAGCCGCCTTCTTCGAATGATGCCAGAATCGTCCATGGTGATACCTCTTGGAGGGTGTCTCGAGCCCCTGTAGTTTCTTTTCTTAAACGAGTTCACAAGACCACGCCACGACGTCACGTGACCCCCCTCCCAGCACGCGCCGCGAGTCAATTTAGCGATAAATCGAAGCCTGAGTGGTCATTATTTACCAGCGATGTAGTGGATATCACGATGACAAAGAGTATCCTGTACCACGGGGTTGAATCAATTCACTACAAGTCAAACGTTAAGCAGCGAGGAAGTGACAAACACGCACTAGTAAAATAAGCCCCTCCGGTGTCGGGTCCAGAAATCCACGGGAGTGACATCGTGCAGGAGTTCCATGAATGCATCGCCATCATCACGCCAGATCAACGGCACATCGCTGTAATCGCGCACATTAAGGCGACGCCGTTGCGGTAGCTTTCAGATCCGCACGAAAGCAGCGTCCACGCAGAATGGATGTGTCCGAGCGCTCCTCACACGCACGCGGCTTCGTGTCATTGTGTTCCACCCCTTCCACTGCCCGCTCTACTTCAACCTCATCTCCGCCACAACAACCGCCTAGCTAAAAGGTGGCGAACTAAAGTCTAATGGAGCCTACAGTACAACAAAATCCAACGACGGAAGTCCTTGGCCTTTTTTTTGCGACACGTACGGACAAAGACACAAATTACTAAAATCACATGTAGTTGTAATATGTGGGACACCGCTCCCAATAACACTTCAGAAATTGCAATGTTAGAACTGGAAGGGAGTTTTCGGTGCTTTTGTTTGTTTTTGCAATTTCTGAATACTTTGCAGTGACTTTTATCTATACCAATTCCACTATTAAGTCCTGTTACCAAAACACATTTTACCACATGCATTTAAGAGATTTCAAGTGTTTTTCCTTGTAGATACAGCTTCCGCGTTCCCATCTACACCACAACACATAACGAAAATGAAAACGACAGATTGTCACACGTTCGAAAAAGCCAGTAGAGAAATTCCGACAGCTCTGTCAATGTTGCTGTCAGACAAGTGGCCTTCCCTCTGGCTAGCTTTCTTCTCGTCTGTTCATCAATTTTGTAAGGATGTTGTTCCCACCTACACCACAACACATAACGAAAATGAAAACGAGACTGTCACACGTTCTAAAAAGCCAGTAGAGAAATTCCGACAGCTCTGTCAATGTTGCTGTCAGACAAGTGGCCTTCCCTCTGGCTAGCTTTCTTCTCGTCTGTTCATCAATTTTGTAAGGATGTCCAGTTGTTTGTAATCTCACTCTTGTGCCATATTTTCTCCACTTAATCAACGCTGATTATCTTCATTTGTTTCATAGCACATGTATAGGGGAAGTCAAGTCCAAAATTTTCTTCACAGTGTTTCCATGCGCCCCACTAGTCGAATCATGGCATTAAGGTTAAAATTGCATTTGTGGAATGTGAAGCAGCAAAATCCACCCGTCAGGCGGCAGCCATTTTGCCTTGCAGTGCCACTTGCTGACGACTGAAAATGGCATCACAGTGCCTCAGGCCTCAGGTAACGACCAAACACGACTGACCTGATTTCTGCTTCTGGTCATATTACATTCACAAGCTGAGCTCTTAAGCACTGTGATGTCATTTTCAGTTGACGGCAAGTGGCAAAATGGCCGGCCCCTGAGGTGGATAAAAATGGGTGAATGCTGCTGTTTAATTCATATTTCACAAAGGCAATATTCATCTGAATACCTTGGTTAGACTAATAGCCCCTATACAATATTTTATTGGAAAGACAAAAAAAAAAAAATGAATACCTTGGTTAGACTAATAGCCCCTAGACAATATTTTATTGGAAAGACAAAAAAAAAAGTCAAAGAGAAAGCAAAACATTACAATGGAATTTCCACTTTACCGGTACTATTTTTAAACGACAAGATCCCTCTGATTCTGAAGAAGCTCTCTGCTGTAAATTGTAATACGTGACTGCACAAACTCTCAGGAAAAGGCTGCTCGAACACCTGAACTTTATTTGGTTAATAACCGAGCTCGAGCATTGAATCATTGTGCCACTGTGGCAATTTATCAAGAAACATCATCTCCACAGACACGTTACATGAGATTCTACTCCGGGGAAGGGATCAACTAAACTTCCCGCAAACGCATTGTGGTTCTATTGACAAGTGAAGGGATGATCCAATCAACTCTTAATGGAACAACACGGCGGTGTATTAGTAACTGCTTACTACTCTGGAGGATTATGCTCGGGTAAAATCCATTGCCATGTCTCTGTCAAACATTTTGTCTTTCAGCAGGAGGACCAACATATTGTTTTCTATGATTTAAATCTGGACTCTTTGGGGATCAAATGTTCAAGCTAAAAGGCAAACCCTTGTAAATGATACATTAAAATGATTGTATACTGTATTTCTACAAAAAGTGGCGGGGGCGAAGGTCATTTATTATATTTCATACAACACGAGAAGACTCCACACTTGAATTTATCTGAAGGACTGTTTCCATGCATCTGGAGGTGCAGCTGTTTGAGTTAACAAGAGAGTTCAGATGTGGTCAGCAACAATCGTGTGAATGACCTGAATGTAATTACATTTACAATCCTGTTTTGTCTTGTGGGGTGGAGAGGAGGTGTCTATTAGAGGGAGGTAGTTATTTGTCCAAAGTGGGTGATGCACTTGAAAACTAATTGGAGGATGCCAGACAATATTTAAGGAAATACATTATTTTGTTTGTATTGAATTTTCAATGCTTCCAATTTGAGTGCATTTTGAGACATTTTCATGTCCGGTCAATGTTGCTTGCAGAAATCTTTGAATTAGCCGGAGGTTCATTAGCAAGCCGATTAATCACTGATTTTTTTTCTGCCAAATATGACATAAATTATTAAATGTTTGTGTTGAAAAAGTTAAACCATCCATCCATTTTCGATTCATGTCATCCTCAGGATCATGGGCCAGTAAAACCACCTACTGTATTTGCAATTTGACTTTAAAATAAAAACAGTCATGAAGCCTTTGTTAAGAAAAATACATGGGAAGAGGACAAACGAGCGCATACTAAATATCAATCGCAATTGGGCGGGGGAAAAAAATCACAATGAGATTATTTTCCAAAATCGTTCAGCCCTAGTGTATAGCGAGCAGCAGGTGAAATATTCAGTTTGCGAGCATGACCCAGTTAGCAGCTTGTCGGACTCTTCTATTACGCCGGTTTTTGTTATTAGCATTTAATAATTGATGAAAGCGCATGAATTTTGCATTTTTCTTCCCTCATTCATTAATTGTGTGATTCGGGAAGGCCAGCATGGCACTGGTGGCAAAAGCAGGCAGACAAAAGCTTTCAGGAATGATGTCAGCCCGTTTGAAAAGACGCCCTGCGGGAGGTCACGTGGGGTCAGCTCTCCTGAGCAAAAGCTCGGCATGTGGGCTTGGATGTGGAATACGTCTACAGCTTGCACGATCTCATTTCCCGACACGGTAAGCCCGTCTCACAAACGCTACGTCAGCTCACATCTCTTCAAGTGCCTCGGCCTGCATTCAAATTGGCTGTGTGAGGGTGTCAATAAAACGAAAAATAGAATAATAGCATGCAGGCATTATTTTGCTGATTTATAGGTTGTATGAGTTCACCTTTCTTGTACAAATGTGAGCATAGGCAGCTGATCACTTCATTGGCATTCTGTAATGGCTGGCATGTTTTTTCTTTTATTGTATCATGAGATGTTTATGTTATTCACGAGGTTCCTTGCTTAATAGCAAAATCACACGGAAACAATGTAATTCAGTCTCAATGCCCTTGAAGCTGAATGCTCTGAACGGCTCAATCAGACGCAAGCCATCCATCAGAACCGTTCAATCTGGAAATCATACATGAAAACAGGCCAGGGTTTGTCGAGTTCAGAAGAGTGGGAGGAGACTCATACCCTTTTTTCTCTATTCTATTTAGAAAACAGCAGATATTTTGTTTTGTGTTGTTGGAACGAAGCATTTTCTATGCAAAACAAATTATCATCTGTAATTCCCATTAAACTTCTTGATAGGCAATTGCACCTGCATTAGATTATTCGATGCAACCATTCGAGATCATAATTTTCAAGTAGCCTAAACTGAACTGCATGTTCTGGTGTGACAAGAAACGGATACCTTTCGACGTCTCCCTTTTCTCATTCGCATGCCTCCAGTCATCGATGCTTCTGCCTTCTCTCTCTCTTTCCTCCCATCTTAAGTACAAGTGGGTCAGACCATAGCAGTGCTAAAAGCCTGCTCTCTGCAGAGAAGCTCCTCTAAATAAAACAACACGCAATCAGCAGTCATACATGCAGAGAGCTGTCAGAGATACAGAGGAGAGGTGAGCTAAGGTGACTTCAACATCCCAAGTGATCTATAAGGAGCATGAAGGGTTAAGTGGCTTTTAAACTGGGGTGGTGTGACTTGACATGGACAGATAGTTGTGGCGATATTATCATTCTGAAGGTACCGGTAAGTGGTTCAAACACTGACTGGAAAATGTATTTGCTCCTTACATAATTTACATCCGACATCATTTAGATCCGTTGCTATATATTACTCCATTTTACTAATGTACTTTTCTAAATGTAAACACACTTTAGACACATTTACATCCAGTCAAAGAAAACTTAAGTTTTCAGCGCCACTGCCAAATCTCAGAAATAGTTGTTCTCTTTTGACTTGTTCTTCCTTACTGGCTGATACATCATTAACGTCACTTTTCCCCCCACCACATAGCCGTTATACTGAACTGGGTCATAATAACATAATATAGTAATATGTCTTACTTGCTGTGTTTCCCCTTCTTATGAAACAATGGAAGATTCCTAGCTCATTACATTTTTACTTGGATATCTTTGAAAAACGGTTTACCATTCAAAAGGGAGCACAGGTGACCATCAATGGAAATGCATTATGCAGGACAAAAGAATACAATCACCTACACAGTAAAAGGATAATTTCGACTGACATGTAATGCTTCAACCCGTTCGCAGCTATTCTTGATAAAGAAGCCATTGAAGTTGGAACGAGTTCACCCAAAGGTGTCCTTACTTTGGGGAAAAAAAGTTTCTGTTGCCAGTACACAAACAGTTGTCCAACTGTCCAAAGTGTCGCGGTGAATTATCATTCAGGGTGAACTAAAGGCTTGATAACAAGGTCAAGGTCATCTTTATTGTCAAGTATGCTTTATGTATGACATGTAAGCATAGATGAAATTTCTTCCTCTCCATCCTCAGTGCAAACATGCATGCAAACATGCTGGATCAAATAACTGATTGAGAGGCTTGTCTCGGGGCATAACGGTGAACTAGTGATTAGCACATCTACCTCACACGCCTCGGCTTCGGGTTCCTAACTCAGCTCCAGGATTCGAGATTTTTGATGGTTAAATTATATCGTGTTAATCCTTGTCTATGTGCCCTTCGATTGGGTCCATTATTAGTTGATTGGCACAGCTCACCTGCAACCCAAATGACGCTAAGCGGTATAGAAAAATGGATATTTTGCTCACCACTTTGAATGTATTTTGGCAAAGCTAGAATGGTGACCCTCCTCTCTTTCAGTCTAGGGCTGAATTTATTAACTTGGTTGTGACGCCACTGACCAAATCATTTTTGGAGAATGGGGACACCTTGTGGACAGAGGATGCAACGTACACAGTACGTCAAAAGGAAAACATGTTGACGGCTGACTGTCAGACATGGTGGTTAATCATTTATGATGGTTAACGGGTGAAATGTTTTTGAAATACGGTTATGTAACGTGAGGGTCAAAAATAAGTTCTCCTCAGCTTTGCGTGAGTCACCAGCATACACGCAGTCTCTCACGGAGGATTTCTGTGTCAATCGTCGGGAGAAGAATAGGCACAATCCAATTAGTGTAGTTAAAGAGACGCCCTGAAAAGAAACTAGGACGATGTGTAACAAACTCAAGGATTACAGACCTGCTGACACTGCGTGACCTCAACTATCAGGTATTTGGTGCTTGAAAAATAAGCAAGTAAACCATACATTGAAATTACACAAACAAGCGTGCTAAGTGCATCATTGAATAGGAGGATTCATTAAAAGCATGCGTGTATAATGTATTCCCGTTGCTGCAGGTGTTATTGCATAACTCATCTCAAACTGTACAGTACATTCCCGTCTTACATTAAATCGCCATAACGAAGCATGATTTTTCCACAATATTTTCGTGTGCACAATATTGAATAAAAGGTCATTCAGAACAGTGAAGACATTTGATGCAAAGAAAAAAATAAAAATGAATTTTTAAATGAACAAATGTAAATTAAGAAAGGCTGATCCGACAACCTTAAAGAACAAAATACCGGTACTCAAATGAAAAATAGGGTGATCACTGATCATCTTATGAACAATTCTGTAGTTACCATTCCTTTAAAGAAAGAAAAAGCCACAACGATCACTGAAATAAATTGAAGGTGACAAACGCACTTGCTAAAAGCTCCATTTTTGTCTTATTTGTTCGAAGCACATTCTCCAAGAAACCTTGAGACTTGTCATTATGTATTTTGGCAAATTCTGGTCTCGTTAATTTCAAGTTATTTCAGTGAGCATTGTGGGCTTTTCTTTCTCCAACAGAAGCGTACCAACAATCTCTTCGCTAGGATGAACAAACTAAGTGTTGACAAACTAACAATAATCCAGAGTGAATCATTCCCTAATGCTGACCAAAGCCAACCCAAACCAGCTGCTACTTGGCAGTGGAAAAGTCTGACCGGTATGTAAATGGAGGAAAGCACAGACTTCTGCCCTGGCTGCTCAGTACAGTATGGCTAACGCGACACTAGGTTATCGATAATAACAAAATGAATACTCCGACACATAGTCTACAAGAAGAGCGTTGTCTCACAATCAAAGCAATGGGTAGGTGTTCCACCGCTGCCCGGAACAGGCACCAAAAAGGTTGTGACCACAGCAAACGTCATAAATACCCTGCCATTGTGATGGACATCTGGCCCTCCAATTGGCAGTACAGTGTATTGATGATGTCATATCCCAGTTTTTTTTTATTTTTATTTATTTATTTATTTTTTATGAGGAACTCCATTCAACACTGTCAGACAATGATGAGCTGATCTAATGGCATTAAGGCAGACGGTCTTGATCTGAAATAGATCGCCAATTTAGCCTCGGTGGACATGCTAACTATTTTTAATCCCATTGACGCAGGAGAAGAATTGGCCTCCTAAGAAGGATGAGACACGAGGCGGGGGAGGTTATAAATGAATGTCAAGGAAGGATCAGAGGACGCATCAGACAGCACTCAACACATTAAACCCAGCGAGGTGTTGTGCTCTTGCCTCGCACCGGGCATCTAACACACAAGAGACCAGCTTGAAAAGCCAAACCAGCCATGGAAGCCACTGCCCAGACCGCGACGGCCACCGCAGCCTTCGACCGGGACTCATTCGCTAAGAAAGCCTTGAGGGCCACCACCAGAGGGGCTTCGTCTCATTTCGTGGGGAGCTCCATTATCATCCTGTCCTCCTTCGCCGTGTCCACTCTGGCTATGAACTGTGGGAAAAAGATCCAGGAGTCTCGGCACAAACCCAATACCAACTGACGACGGGCTGCAGGTGGACGGTGCATCTTTCTCGATTGTGATATCATCTTGTAAATAATAATGTCTTCATTGCTTAGTGTGGACACAAGGAGAGGCAGAGTTGTCACTTCAAAACAGCAACTGCAAGGGATTTGCTGCAAAATTTGGCATCCATCTCAAATCAAGACCAGTGCAACGCCTTAACACCTTGCATTGAAGCAAACCGTATGGCTTCATATCTTCATGTCTCATCCTTTAAATTTGTCTGTAAATACAGCAGCTCTTTAGTTGTGTTTTTCATACTTGTTAGTCAGAAAAGCAAGACTGATCTTAAAGATCTAAATGTCTTTGTATTGTATTTACGATATGAAACGTGTCTAACACATGGGAGCTGAAATCCGGCTTCAAATGCTTATTTTCTTTAATTATAAACTTGCTTTTGAAAGTTATTTGAATGAAAATCTAAGGCTCTATTTGAGTGAAGCAATGTGGTTGAATGCAAGCGTCTACCAATCATTTGTTCTTATTGTGCAAGAAAATGTCCTTTTTTTGCATTGGCAATAAGCTTTATTTAAAAAAAATAATTTAAAAAGCTGTGCAACATTATACAGTATGACCTTCCATAAGTGATTTGAGGGATTTTTGGGTGTCTTATTTGGTTGAGTAATGTGGATTTCCGCCATGTAAAACAAGGCTTTGAACAACACTAAAGTATATGTAGTTTTTAATACTGCCACTAGAGAGCACAATTGAGATTAAAATAATACTTTTTGCAACCTTGCCTCATTTTTACTCCCCTCTCCGGTTCAAACAAAGACTCTCGATGCATTTTGTAAAACACATTTTATGAGTAAAACAGATTAAACAAAGGAAAATATTCCATGTACTTGCACTGCTGTCTGTGTGTGTGCAAGCAACTCACAGTACTGTACATGTAAGGCCAGTTCTCAGAGAGTGTCCAGACTCTTCAGCCTGCGCTCTGTGAAGAAGCGGTGCGTCTGTGTTGGGTTTGTGACACCACCTGGCGCACTGAAGTAGGACAGCATGGACCTGTTGGCCAGCCGCTGCGCTGCCTTTTCGCCGTCCTCCTCGTCATCGTCCCTGAAGAGAGATTAAGCAACAAGTGTGATTTTTCACACTGTGGTAAGCGCTCATCTCCTCAGGTCAAATGTTTGCCGCATTAAGCGTATGCCAGACATGAAAGCGATTGCGGGTTTCACACTTTAGGGGATGTAAATGTTTATGCAAACCATGGCTAATTTTTAAAGCATTTTTGTCTTTCTTTTGATCTTAATAGTTATGGGAAGCACCAATAACTTTGCTTTTCATGAGTTTTTCGACTTTGTTTTGAAACTTGTTTTTGCACATTTTATGGATTACTGTATACCACCAAGGGCAAGGACACAGAAAATCGGCATTTAATTCTGATTAATAAATATGTTTTAGATCTTTGACTGATCCTATGTATTCAAAGGATCGTATTAGGCAAAACTGACTTTTTAATTAGCTGCCGATAAATAAATGGGTGCCTGGGAAAGACCCAGTGTATCTGTCAGCAAGCCATTCTGATGTTGTCAGTTTCTCCAACCATTACTTGATAACTGGGCTGGCCAAAGAACTGCCACGTTCAAGTGACAGCCGCAGCAAACTGAAATGTAAAAGCCAAAAGATAAGCAAACCCGCATTGTGTTTTGTTTGGTGCACAGATCAACGGCAGCTGTGTTAGATGAACACATGTCACATAGTTGTTCTTGGGTGAAATTATCAGCATGGTCAGGTGGTACTTGGAAGTGAGGTTCTACTGACAGACAATCGCGCAGCTCAAACTGACATCCGTTACACATATGCAGTGACCCGCACTAATTGAAAACTAAATAGCAACTTGGTGATGAAGTGCTGCCTCCACAACTGAAAATATCAATACTGTTTTGCAGTCTCCACTCCCCCCCCCCTTTTTTTAAGACTTTTAACAAGTAGCCAAGCCCTCACTCTGGCCCTTGTCACCATGACAACAGAAAGCCGTACTTAGCATTGGACCCGCTGGAGCTGAGGTAAACGATGGCTCATTTGCAAGAGACAGGTCAGCCTCCTCAAAACAAGACAGCAATGTAGCAGAAAAACAGGGTGTGCTGTAATTGTTGATTCTGTAGACTATTTCAGCTTATGAAGAAAAATGCTTGTCTCCTTAAAGAATTTCTAGAACACTTACCAATGGACAGTCACAGCCTTGCTGTCAATCAAGGTTTGGGCCGTGCTCCAGCTAAAGCGCACAAATTGGGGGTAGCCAAACACTGGGTCCAAGTACTTCAGAAGCCATGCTTTAGTTTTTGGGTCTATAAGCAGCAAAATGATTTTGCAAACATTACATCAGTAATTATGAAACCATCAAGCATTCTTTACCGTTTGGGTATCCTGAGCCATATTCTGTATCCACGTCTGCTAAGTTCTCAACAAACTTCCAGTTCTTCACAACATGGTCCCTGGCTACCTGAAATTATAGAGATTAATATTAGCACCGTGACAAGTTGCCGCCATTTTTGTGTAATTTTAGAAAAACATGAAATGAGCACTTCACTTAAAATCCTCCCAAATCCTATTTGAAACATCAGAGGAATTTTTATGTGGCGACATGGAAAACCCTTGTACAAGTTTACTGCAGCCTATTTTTAACTGAAACTTGTCAGAGGTTCAAGGAGGTATGTTGAGAAATAATCACGTTTTTCTTTCTTTTTTTTTTTTTTTACAGTAAAAGCATAGAATACACCTGCAGTGATAAAATGGAACAGGGTATTGCAGGGGGACTGACTTTGGCACAGATACTGGCTGCACTGACGATGGGGAAGAGGGAGTCAGCCTTTGGCCTCACTGTGACATCGATGCCTGGGAAAATCTTTGAGAGCTTCTCCTCATATTTCTCAGCAGGGCCGACTGTGTCCACAAATACCTGCAGAGATGGAGGACAACATTTGAGGTAACCCCCATTGTGTTTCTGCTTTGTGAATCTGTGGCAAGTGGAACCTCCAAAGTCACACACTCTGATTGACTCCCATTACTGTAATTTCAAAAAAATGTTTCCATAAGAAATCCTGTAAGAACCACCAGACATTCGCAGTTCGGCATTTTGATTCTTGGATTACACCAAACTGTACCACTTTTGGAATGTTCCGCTGAAGAAGTTCCACTGCACAACATGAAAACTCCGATTCACAAACCTCTTTGAGCTGTACGCCACTGTCCAGTGCAAATTGAACTAAACCAATGGCCGTGTCATGTGACAGGGTGTTCAGGTTGCATTTAGTCCTGACAAAAGCAAACGTGTTGTTGGTGCATTCATATACACATTACAAGTAGATGCACATTGCATTGCATTGGCCAACCATACCTCTGTAACATACTGGTGGAGATGGTGTTGGGGGAGAGAATATGCAGGGCCCAGCCCAAAAAACCTTTGGCATCGTCCAGTTTTTGGAAAAGAGTCTCTCTTTCTGCCTCTGAAAGAGTTTTGGAATCTGGAAACGGATAAGAGAAACAAGATGATTTCTTCCTTGCCTTTGTCAGCTAGTACTTGCTCATATGGGGTTCAGTTGATTTCTGAATGTGTGAACTTCATGATTCTCGACCTGCTCCATATGTAAATTGCATTGAGATAACGCTGGTTGCGAATTGGCAGTTTATGAATAAAACCAGGAGAAATTACCTGCAACTTTCAATCCCTTTAATTCCTCCTTTTTGGAAATGGGACAAAAGCATATTCCATAAACCATTGGACCTGGATTAAAAAAAAAAAAGCACAAAAACAGGTTAAACAGTTTTTTTTCATTGTGTGACAAAATTGCATTATGAACCTCGCCTCTACGATGAGCAAAACGGTTATTTTTCTCTACGGAGTCCTGCTTCTTAAAACATTTGCTCACTGAAACCTCAACATTTCGCTTGCTATGAATGTGAACTGCTGTAAGTCCAATCACCCATTTTAAATTTTCAAATCGGTTGACGCATGACAAATATATTTTCCCCAATCCCAAGCACAGAAACCAATTGAAACAGCAATGGTTCTCAAATGGGGGTACGTGTACCCCTTGAAGTAGGTGAAGGCAGTCCAAGGGACATGTGAGCTTTTGAATGATATTTAAAAGTAGCATTCCTGAAAAAAACATCCTTAAAAAGCAATTATTACATTCTGTAAATACTTATGTATATATATGTTCATAAATTGTATTTTATATTCAGTAGGCAATTCAATTTAATTCGCCTAAAAATCCAGTCTCCTCCGTACAAGAATAGGTCTCCCCAACTTGCCAATTACTTGAAAACTTTAAGTCATTTTTTTTATGCGCACAAATCTTTATAATTAAGTTCATTCTTTCTTTCTTTTTTTAGTTAGAGACCACTAGACAAATAAGAGTTCCAAAGTTCAATAAATCAGTCAATGATGGCACAGTACTCTCTTTTAAGTCAATCACTCCCTCTTTTATTTTTTTCCCCAACCCAAAATGCTTTGTGCTGGTTAGGGGACACTTGTTGAAAAGCCTTCATGAAATGAGTGGATGAAGGAAACCCGCAGCATACCCAGCACCGGTCCCCTGCCCGCTTCGTCAATGCCCAGGCAGCAGTCTTCAGTCTTACACACATCAGGGATGATGGAGGATAGACGGCAGCTGACAGAGTTATCGGCGTCGAAGGCGCTGGTATCCATGACCGCTGCCCGAGAAGACATTTCACATACATGAATACACCGTCGCGTTGGCGACATGACATGTAATGTCGGACATCTGTTTGCTATGTCTACCAATGACAATCAGGTTAGCTACATGCTATACTGGACGGCGACTGTTGCTCGCAGATGATATTAGTACGTTGACGGAATTCCGCATTTCAACTGTGATTCTAGTCTGTATGACGCGCCTTTATTCTTTATGAATTCTTACCTCAGTCGACAGAATCACGACTTTTCCCAGCTTGGGTATTTACAATGTGTGCGAGTGTTCGGTAAATAAGACAACAGACTTTGAAGCAGGAGAATTCGCGCCTCGTAATGACGTAACAAGCGTCAGTAGGAGCTTTGTTGTATACTGCCGCTCCATGGCCTGGAGGGGAAGATGCAGCCTCAAACTTGACCTCCCTGCGGGGAGTTCATATTCGTTGTATTTTGCAAATCATTCTGATTCAGGTCGCGGCAAACGACATCCAAATAGAGGTTCAAACCCAGGACCGCTTGACTATGAGGCAGACATATCAACCACGAGCACAGACTATCTACAGTTCTACACAAACAAAAATCATCATTTTCCAATTCATTTCTTGTGTTTGTTTCTTTTGGTAAACAATCTCCCTTTCACTCACATTTTGAATGACGTTTTATGTTCAAGATTTCTTTCTGTCGTGTCATGTATTCCTGAGACGATAGTTTGTATTGTGGTCACTGATGGAGTAGCACACGGGCGTTCAATCAAGGCCTCGGGACAAGATCTGGCCTGCCACATCAATTTATGCGGAACACTAAAGAAAATAAAGGATAATTTCTTGCTAAATGTATTAATTATTTTCATTTTAGGGGAAAATCTATGCCAAAAGTTCAACTTTTAAAAGACATTCGATGCATTTTTTTAAACAAATAATAACAGCAGTTGTATACTTAAATATTTGGTTACCGCTATTGTCCATGATTTTTTATTTCGAATTCAATTCATTTAAAAAAAAATACAATATATAACAGGGGTCACCAACTCTGGCCCTCAAGGGCCACTATCCTGCATGTTTTAGATGTTTTCCTCTTCCAACCCAATTGATTCAGATGATTAGGATCGTATCAGGCTTCTACACAGTTTGCTGATGAGTTGTTCATTTGAATCAGGTGAGGTGTGTTAGAGGAGGGAAACATCTTGCAGAATAGGGGCCCTCGAGGGCCGGAGATCATGACTCCTGATATATAACAATAGATGTAATCATATGATGTTGTTTTTCAGTCTTCACGACCCTCTGAAAGAAATTACAACTACATTGTGTGCCATGACAAAAAAAAAAATTGAACACCTCTGGCTCGCACTCCTGACTTTTATGTGTCACGTTTCTTTTTTCGGCCTGGCCAGCAGGTGGCAGCATGAACGGACTTTATGACTGCACAACTGCTGCCAATTTAACTATCAAGGGACTCTGTACTTAAGGATCCATTTTCAGTCTGCCGGAGTATTGTTTATGCCTGCTGCTTCCTTGCTCATTGACCTTTTTTGCTATAGATCTCGTCGTTTTTCACTTTTGACTAGTGATGGCCAAATGAAGCTTCATGAAGCAATGAAGCTTTGCAGCCAATTGGTTTGCACATGTAGCAAAGCTTCGTGGTGCATCATATACTCTATGGTGCCATTAAGTGGTCCAGAAGCCCAACAGGTCAACAGTGTTAATAATTCAGTGGCTATTTGCTTAAGACAAAGATATGAACGTGCTTGTGTTAGTAATTTAGTATGTGAACAAAATACAAGTGCTAAGGATAATTTGTTATTCATTTTTATTTAGAAATAATAGCTTTCCCACAGTGGCTGGCTTTAAACTGTTTCTTATTTTGGACAATATTTCACCAGCTTTAGAAAATATTCTTTCACAAGGCACAGATGAATAAATTTGGGTAGGTATGGCCCAGTTTCATGCTTGCTCTCATGCAAGGCTCTATGATGCCTCAACATAGACGAGGTGTTATTGTTGAATACAAGTTCCCTTGCACACAACAGACACTTCACCTGTGAAAAAACAAAAGTTAGACACAAGAACAAGCGAAAAGCTGCATTGTCACATTTATATTAATATATTTTTTCTCCCTTACCTTATTGGAAGCAATCAAATCAAAATGTTCCCACACAGGGGAGGATCACCTTTTTCGCGCAGGTTCCATCGCAAGCAACGGACAAGGCTCGGAAAAAGATTGCACTAGTTACACTGTTGCACTGTTGCGCACAGGTACAGGAGCCCGAAATCCACAAAATGTGAGATAACAGGCGATCGCCAATGCGTTTTGCAACCTATTTAGACCGTAGCCTGTACTGTGTTTGCAATGCGCGCCAAACGTTGGACCACTCACAAAGCGTTAATGTGATTTCAGCCAGCCGGCGAGGCTTCACACGTCATCACTTCCGGGTTTTGCCGAAATGACGCGTGCTTCGATACAAGCTTCGTGGAAACGCCCCTCCCATTACTCGACACAAGCTTCGGAGCCTCGACCCATTTCGTCCCATCACTACTTTTGACTTCTCTGTGGCATTTATTCTGTTAGTATGTTTTTTATTTTGTGATTCGGCTTTGCTCGCGTGTATTGTGATACATTGTTTTTCGTTTGTATCCTCGGCTCTTGTTTTCTCCCCTTGCCTTTTGTGCAAGCGCTTTTTGTTATTTGTTTCTTGTGCTCTCTGGTCCCTGTTTGGACCAGCGCTTTATGTTAATACTTTGTCAGTGCGATTTTGTTACATTAAAACATTTGTTTGCTACGGAGACCTTGTTGGCGTCTGCACTTTTTGGGATTCCAAACTTGATTCGGCTTGCCTGAAACGTGACAGAATACTCCGACCAACATGGATCCCGTAGACGTTAATAAGATAATGACCACCTTGACCAGCCAAGGACAACTGGTGGGCGAGCAGGGACAAGCGCTCGCGGAGCTCCGGGAAGCGGTCTCCATGCTGGCTCATCGGCTCGAGAATTTGAGTTCCCGGGTGAAACAATTGAGCACCCGAGGAACGCCATCCTCGGGAACACCTAAAGCGACCACCGAGATACCATCCTCCCTGAGGCGGGAACCTAATTTCCCACACCCACCGCGTTATGGTGGCGAGCCGGGGCTGTGTGGACAATTTTTGCACCAATGCTCATTGGTTTTCAACCAACAACCATCCACCTATGTAAAGGATACTACCAAGGTGGCATTTGTAATGAGCCTGTTGACTGGTCAGGCAGCGTCATGGGCGATGGAAGTAAGTAATGCTCAACCCGGGCTTCGGTCTTCCTTCCCTGATTTTGTGGCAGAGTTTCGACGTGTGTTCCACCATCCGGTCATGGGAAGAGAGGCCGGATTAGGGCTGTTAGATATTCGGCAAGGAAAGCAATCTGTGGCCGAGTACTCTATTTCCTTTCGGATTTTGGCCGCCCGGGGTGGTTACGGAAACCGCGCCCTTTGTTGTTTGTTTCGTCGCGGTTTAAATGTATATTTGAAAGACGAACTGGCAACCCGCGATGACATCAAAACCTTGGAGGAACTCATTAATCTGTCCCTCGTACTGGAGAACCGCATGCGAGAACGAGAGCGGGACCGCGGAGGCGAGCGGGGTCATGTCCCTTTCCAGCCCCAATGTGCTGGTGGTCGGCCGGCTTCCCCCGAGTCCTTGCAACCGTCTGGACCAGAGCATCACCCCGGTACCGGGACTGCCGACGCAGAGGGAGAGCCCACGCAGATGGGAGGAGGACGTGTGGAGCAAAAGGACGGCGCCGGATTCGGGACCAGGCCTGTTTCTACTGCGGTCAACAAGGACATCGAGTCGCCGACTGTTCCATGACCCTGACCCACCTTGCTTCGCGCACCGACAAATGTGAGTTTGCACCCAGCACTGACTCACGGGAGCCAAGAAGGGAGGAGTCCAGTTCGGGACTTCCCAAGAGACTGGAGCTGGACGGGACTATCTATGGTCCTTCACGGGCTCTTCCGATTCGGGCACTGGTGGACTCAGGGGCGGCCGATTGTTTTATAGACCCTACGATGGCTAACGAACTGGGTTGTCCGGTGGAAGAGTTAAAGGACGTTAAGAGGGTTCACGATCTGGATGGGTGACTCCTGGCGGAGGTGAAACAGATCACCGGCCCTTTAAAGCTAAGGGTTTCAGGCAGTCACATTGAATATAGGAAGTTTTATCTAATGCGGTCCCGATCTGTACCGTTAATCTTGGGGTTGCCTTGGTTGAGAACCCATAATCCTGTCATTAACTGGGAACGTCCCGCGATTGATAACTGGAGTCCGTTCTGTTATGCCCACTGTTTGTAGTCGGCGGCAGGAAGTTGAGGGCCGTCACATAACGATCCGCCTGAATCCATTTGTTTGGATAAGGTTCCAAGTATCTACCATGATTTGCATCAAGTGTTTAGTGAAAACCGCGCTCAGTCCTTGCTGCCGCACTGGCCGTACGATTGCGCCATCGAATTGATTGCTAACGCCCCTCTTCCGAGTTCACAACTATATCAGGTTTCTCACGCGGAACGAGAGGCGTTAAGGGAGCACATAGACAGCTCTCTCTCGGCTGGCCTTATTAGGCCTTCTAGATCCCCTTAAGGAGCTGGATTCTTCTTCATAGAGAAGAAAGACAAGTCGTTACGCCCTTGTGTCGACTATCGGGGACTAAACGAGATCACCATCAAAAACAAATATCCACTCCCGTTGTTAGATTCGGCGTTCACCCCTCTCCAATCTGCCACCATATTCTCCAAACTAGATCTACGCAGTGCTTACCATCTGGTCCGTATTCGGGAGGGGGATGAATGGAAGACGGCATTCAAGACACCTTTAGGGCATTTTGAGTATTTGGTCATGCCTTTTGGGTTAACCAACGCGCCCACCGTATTACAGAGTCTCATTAATGACCTGTTGAGAGACAATGCGTTTTTGGACTTAAAGAAGGCCTTCACTAACCCCCCGGTTTTGCAACATCCTAACCCAGATTATCCTTTTGTTGTACAGGTGGACGCTTCGGATTCAGGAGTGGGGACGGTATTGTCTCAGCGTTCCCCAGTTGACCACAGACTCCACCCATGCACCTTCTTCTCTCGTCGTCTCAGTCCAGCCGAAGCCAACTATGACGTGGGAATTGGGGAACTCCTTGCTGTCGTTTTGGCTCTGCAGGAATGGCGGCATTGGCTCGTTCACTGTGTACACCGACCACAAGAACCTCGCATACATTCGCTCTGCCAAAAGACTAAATTCACGTCAAGCCCGGTGGGCGCTTCTCCTTACACGTTTCAACTTCACACTTACCAACTGTCCTGGCTCCAAGAACATAAGACTTGACGCTCTATCCCGTATCCATGACCCGCGGAGAGGAGCAGCGAACCACGGAGCATTCTTCCTGACCACTGCATTTTGGGGGCACTTAGGTGGGAGATCGAACGGAGGATCCAGGAGGCCCCAGGCGGAACCCAAGTCTCGGCTGGCTGTCCCGCAGGGAAGCTTTTTGTACCCCCACCTCTGCGCCGCTCGGAGGTGTTGCAGTGGGGGCACTCGTCTAAGGTGGCTTGCCATCCTGGCGTGAACCAGACCTTACAGCTCGTCTCTCAGCGGTTTTGGTGGCTGCTTCCTTGCTCATAGACCTTTTTTGCTATAGATCTCATCGTTTTTCACTTTTGACTTCTCGGTGACATTTATTCTGTTAGTATGGTTTTTATTTTGTGATTTGGCTTTGCTCGCGTGTATTGTGATACATTGTTTTTCGTTTGTATCCTCGGCTCTTGTTTTCTCCCCTTGCCTTTTGTGCAAGCGCTTTTTGTTATTTGTTTCGTGTTCTCCCTGGTCCCTGTTTGGACAATACTTTGTCGGTGCGATTTTGTTACATTAAAACATTTGTTTGGTACAGAGACCTTGTTGGCGTCTGCACTTTTTGGGATTCCAAACTTGATTCGGCTTGCCTGAAACGTGACAAGATGTGAGTTCAGTTCACACCCAGTGAAGGTGTGAATGTTATTTTGAACGGTTGTCTATTTCTACATGATTGACAGGTGACCAGTGAGCCTAAAAAGATTAGTTCTATAAAAAAATGAAGCGATGTATATTATGTATTATTATAATTCTGAATGTATGTAACCGCCATTAGATGTTCTGTGGCATCACTTGGTTAAAACACACTTAGCACAGGAAAGGAACAGGAGGACATATGATGTGAAGCCCCCCCATTGAAGTTGTTTTGAAATTTATTTTGTCAGACATGCATTTATTCAGGTGGAGAGGAGAGGGCAGCATGCAAGGAAGGCCATTAGCGAAAGGTTGAAATTGGCCTGCTCCTTGCCTCTTAACACCCTCCCCTTCTCTCACTTTCGATCCCTCTTGCTCACTCAATGGCTTTCTTTGTATTTTTGCAGTAAAACGCCGTCCCCAGCCGATTAAATGCTAGGAATTAGTAGTCCATTTTAGCCTACTGTGCATACAAACACACTAAACAGCTTAAGCTGCTGGGGCACTGATTGTGTTATTATTACAGTTCACACGTCAGCGGAGGTTTATAATTTGCTTTTCTCCGTATTCACTTGCTAAGAGCAGCATGTGATTGATCCTAAACGTGACTGTTGCATAAAATAACATGGTAATGGTTTGTTCTTCACTTATACCGACATAAATAGTAAAGAAACTGATATTACACATTTGTTTTTTTATAAATAAATTGATTTAATAGATGACAACAATAATATTTCAACATCGCTATTTCTTGTAAGGAAGCAAAATACTTGGCAAACACTTTACAAAACGATTCAGAATTATACAAAAAATGGAGGAAGCAAAAGGTGTGGCATACTTAGAGCAAAAAAAAAAAAAAAAAAACTGCATGGTAAGAGGGTCAGTATAAAATTGGAAAGTATGCATCACATATTGTAAAGTAAAGCCCATGGTATTGAATATTATTCACATCGCCAGAGAGGAAGTACGGTAGCCTATTTGGGCCGCTCTATAGGAACAACGGTAAAGTAGAAAAAATGCGGAACTATTGTACATGTGATTCCAAGTAATCCTTAAGCAGGACCCAAAGCTGGCCAATCATCTCAACAGACTGGATCGAACTTTGTACTACAGCTCGTTACAAAACGTTAGCGATCATAGTTGATTCAGCAAATTGTTACAAAGAAAGAAAAGTGAGATAGTTCAACATTTTCTCTAACTGAGCAGGCATGGAAAATGTTCTCTGCTATTGGCACAAAATGACAATGAGAGTTGAGGTAAAGTGTCCAAGATGGAGCGAAAATGTGAAATAGAAGCTCTCTTTCCCTCTCTTATTCCTATTATTCCCATAAATGCTTCAGATCAAATAAGCAGTAAAGGATAGAAGACACAGAAACACACAGACAGACTGAGTTATCACCAAAGAAAAAAGGTTGCCGTTACCAAAAATAACCCTTAATTGGGGGCCAAGTTTGAACGAAACATACTCCAGAAGCAGTGGTGACGCTGTGTCAGTATTATCATGTCAGTCACAATAAAGTTACCGGTACACTAGTACATCAACATCAACGACACTACTAATATAAAAAAGGTTAAAAAAACAAAACAAGACTCTCCTTTAGTTTGGTTAATAAATGGGATGATATCAGTCCAATATCCTTTCCTGGGTTATCATTCGTGTATATAAAACACTCGATTGGCCTCTCTCCAATTGCTGTACATCGTCACTTACATTCCGGATGGCACACATTGTTTCCAAATGTATCGTTTAGCTTGGCTGCAGAACCCCAATGAACAACTGCGGATGCATTTTATCAGCTAAAAAAGTAAAAACCTCTAATATTACATCAATATGGCGTAGACATACAAACACACGCGCACATCATGCGAACTCCCATTGGCAAACACATGCACACGGTTGCTCTCACACGCTTCCCATATATTCCCGGACTCCGTCCTCAGGGTCTTGTGAGTGTGGTGTAAACAGGCTGCTCCCAGTGTGTGGGGCTGTGGGAGGGAGCCACACTAGAGGGGTCGCCTATGGTGGTGTACAGAGGCCTCTGTGTAGGGCCCATGTACGAGAAGGCTGAGTACAGCCCGGGGGCCTGACTGGAGTGGGTGTAGTACGCCCCAGGGGCCTGGTGGTCTCCGTATTCAAACTGAGCTCTGGAGGCCAGCGAGGGAAAAGCAGAGCCATAGTGAGGGAGGCTGAGTGGCGTGTAGGTGACGTGCGCGCCTGAAGAGGGTGACGATGATGCCTCGGCGTAGTGGCTCCCAGACCCAGACTCGCTTTTGATCGAGGCCTTGGAGTGGTCAGAGGACGTAGGGGAGCCCTGAGGCTGCTGCTGCTGCTTGGAGAGCCAGGCCGAGTGGCCGCTGGCAGCGGCCAGGGCGTAGGCATAGGACGAGGCCGAGGTCCCCGCAGCGGGGGCGCCGCCAATGCCTTGGGGATGCCCGTTGGGGGGCAAGTATTGGTCAAACTCGTTAACGTCGAAAGGCTCGATGTTGGACATCACCTCGTTGCTGATCTCGCCGATGTCCATGGTGCCAAAATCGATGTGCGGCTTGGAGCCAGATGATGAAGGACCACCAGAGGAACCTTCGCTCCCTACACCAAGTGGTCCCCTGGACCCCCCTGATCCTCCAGCCCCTCCGGCTGCCCCTTCGCGCTTGCTGTCTGACAGTTTGCCTGACTGGAGATCTGTTTTCGGGGTGGTTGGGGGTGTAGGGGGGCTGTGACCCTGACCTGGAAGAGACAGATTTGCTTAGTTTAACACAACCAGGATTATACATACTGTACATCATTTAATGAAGTATCTTATGAGCTTGAAAATCACATAATGAAAGTGATTCTCTAAGTGGTAGGAACACCATTGGTGGTACATGGGCTCGCTTTGCTGGTAAAGGAAAGAATCACTGAATTAAATCTAGCGCAATAGCTTCAACATTTGTTTAAATCCAATACAGTGCATTTCTTTCATAGAGTCCAGTGTTGTTTTCAAATATATATTTTGTTAGAATTCTTCATGAAACTTGTAAATGTGAAATACATTTATTTGAATTGAATTGTTATTTTATTTTCCTCTACTTAATCAACATTGTGCTCAACATTAGGTTACAATGTTAACCCACTGCATTTTCATGTTTTTATGATGGTGGTACTTGACGAGCGTAGTATTTTTTTAGGTAGTATTTGGTGTAAAATGTTTGAGAAACACTGTACTGCACAATATTGTTGTGACATTTTATCATATACCAACATCATCTAACACGATGCTCAATTTCATTTCATCGTACTGCAACATATATTCTCAGCAAGAGAACTGGCATTGCAAGTGTGCTGTGACACAAAAATATGCCATGCCAGATTATCAAGTACAAAACTGGAAATTCTTCAATATCACCTAAATTAGTCTGAAAAAATATATTTACAGTATCTACACGGATTAAAGTATCTTTGTTTAACTATTTATGCCAGTGATGTACAGTGAAGGCCGAACATTTAATTCTCTTCCACGAGCTGGCAGAAGGTACGTAATTAAACTTCATGCATCAGAAATCCAAGCCGCTTGTCTTCAAGAGCATAGGTGTCAAACTCCAATCAGCTCATCAACAAGCTCCGCAGAAGCCTAATATCGATCCTGTTCATTTGAATTAGGTGTGTTGCAAGAGGGATAGATGGAAAACATGCAGGACAGCAGCCCTCCAGGGCCAGAGTTTGACACCTATGCTCAAAAGGGTCATGGGCGTGTTGGAGCTTATTCCAGCACCCTTTGGGTAGTAGGCAGGGGTACAAACATTCACACTCACAATTTCACTTTGGGACAAATTAGAGTGGTTCAATTAACCTATACATGTTTATGGAATGTGGGAGTAAACCCACGCAGGTACGGGAAGAACATGCAAATTTCACACTGGAAGGGCAGGGCCCGGAATCGAACCCATGACCTCTGTACTCTGAGGCGGACGTGCTAACCAGTCGAGCACCGTGCTGCTCATACATAAATTAACCTGTGCATCACTTTTTGGGACATTTTTATTTGGTGGTGAGCGATTTTTATTTTTATTTTTTTGGTTGTTATTATTATTATTATTATTATTATTTACCTTTATGCATTTCAGTTATGGCGATTTCACAAACTATATTGAGCCATATTTTATATTAGAAACACACAAAAAATGTAACAAAACGTGGATACACAAGTTAAATAATTACCTTGTTCCATCGATTGGAAGACCATGTCATTGTTCTACCTGTCACTAAACGTTGTGGACGTAGATAGTTCGACAAAGTTACATTTGAACCAAAAAACAAAACACTTTGAATAATTTCCTGCAGCAAACCTACAGTAAGGACCGCAAAGTCAAACACACTTAAGTGCCAATTGGTTGGGAATCACCATCTGTCCACCAATGGCCCTTTCCAACCCATCAGGGTCACGTACTTGTTCAGTAGATAGCAGGAAAGTGAGTGACCACTATTTCACACAAAAAATTAATAATAATGATAATAATTATTATTTTTATTATGATGATGATGATTATGATGATGATTGTTATTATTATTATTATTATTATTATTATTATTATTATTATTATTATTATTATAACAAATTGTTCTATTGGATTTACTTAATTCCTACATCGGTTGGACAGGAATCAAATTTGTTAAACAAACATACATCATTTGAGGGTTTTGTTTTGTTTTGGGGTTTTTTTTAGGGAAATTATGTCAGCTCATCATATTTTAATCATGTGCAAACAAATGTTTTTCTCCTTTTCATCTTTTTAAAATTGATGCTGCCCCACTGTCACTATTGCTTGAAGAATTTCCTCTTTTTTCCCCCTAAATGAAAACTGTCCCCATTCCCCTTCTACATTTTGTCCTAGGCCACTGGTACGGCGTGCCACCTACTCGCAGGGTGGTGGTGGTGATGGTGATGGTGGTGCAGGTCGCCCAAAGGTGACCCCGCGCCCCCATTGTGCTCCAGATGCAGGCTCTTGTAGTGAGACTGGGAGTGGCTGGCTTCGCCCTCGCCCGGGCTGTCCGACTCATTAGCGGGCGTCAGTTTGCCGTTCTTGCGTCTCCGGGGCTGATACTTGTACTCCGGGTAGTCCTTCTTGTGCTGTTTCCTCAACCTCTCGGCCTCCTCGATGAATGGCCTCTTGTCGCTCTCGTTGAGCAGCCTGCAGGGAGGAGAACAAGGAGCGTTTTTACTCTCCAAAGTTAATGTGGAAGTTAAAATATGCGCAAATAGCACGCGTTGGCGCCGTGCGTAAATGGAGACGCGCGTGTAATTGGGTGCTCAAATGACTTCGTGGTTGAAGCACAAATTAAACACGCTCGGACAAACAACACGCTTTAGTTGCTGTTTGTCTTTTTCGCGTCCACCAATCTAGGCTCCTAATTTTCCTACTTTTTGGCGCAAATTGCGCAGGAAATGAAGTGTGACTGTGTGCGCGCGGTGTTCTTTTTCGTACAAACCTCCACAGTTTGCCGAGGGTCTTGCTGAGCTCCGCGTTGTGCAGGTGGGGGTACTGGTCGGCCAGCTTCCTCCTGGCCGCCTGGGCCCACACCATGAAGGCGTTCATGGGCCGCTTGACGTGAGGCTTGGCTTTGTTTCCGTTGTTGACGCGCACCGGCATGGGCACCAGGGTCCAGTCGTAGCCGTCCAGAACCTGGCTGACCGCCTCGCGGATGCCGATGGGGAAGCGATCGTCGTCCTCCTCCGACTTGACCGTGGACCTGTGGTCCCCGGAGCCGTCCGCCACACAGAGCGAAGTCAACTGAGGCGGAGGTCCGGTCAGAGGTGAGTCGTGACCGGGTGGAGCTCCGGCGTGGCTCGGGGAGAGCGAGTGAGCGTCGTCCGAACCTCCGGGGCTCAGCTCCGCTTCGGACATGCTGTGCTCCTCTCCGGACATTTTTAAACTGTTTAGTTTGTTTAACAACAACTTTAAATTGATTTAAAAGAGTTTCAAATAGACTATGTGGAGTTTGCGATGGTGCCAGTTCGTGTGGACTCCTCTAATACGAAGCCATAGTGGTGCGTAAATGTGGCCAGATCCTTTTTTACGCACCGAAATCCGCTACACCTGCAAGAAAACATACAATAGAGTATTTATACTCAACTTTCAAAATTAAATCATCTCATTTGTTTCTGATTAGTACATTTGAAAAATTACAGGTATACTGCATATATGGCATCTTATGTCGCAAAATTAATCGAACAAATATGAAACATTTCATCAAATCACAATCCAAACCCAAATCTAAAAAAATCTAGCAAATCAATATCGCGTAAAACTAAACGTTTCATTCACTTAAAAAAAATATGATTTTAAAAAAAATTACATAACTTACCAGTAGAGACGCACAGTGGTTCAACATGGGAGTGCGTGTGGCTGGACGTGGAGCCGATGAATGGCTGCTCTGTGTGGCGACACCGGAGCTTAAAGAGCGCCTTGTGAGAAGGACTGCGAGAGGGAGAAAAAAAAGGGGGGGGGGATTGAAAGTGGAAAACATTCCCAGAGAGGCAGCATTCCAACACACACACTCGGCCACGCCCACCCTAGCGCAACCCAGCGCTTTCATTGGCTCTCGTCCCGCCCTGCCAGTAGCCGATTGGACGAGGGCAGGATGGCGTTAACGCCGGGCCCGTACGTTCGTACGTCGCTGCACCGTTTCCAACCGGGAAGAGGTGAGATGTGACATGGGAGTCGCTTTAAACGTATCCACAGTGAGCCCATTTAGAGTACGGAGAAGGCCAGCTTTGTTGCGAGTGTTGACATGCTACATCAAACAAATAAACAATCATCCACTGACTTATTACATCTTGCGGCCGCATTAAATCCGAAAGGGAGGGGAATCTAAATAGCCCAAATTGGCAGAGTTCTCCGGTTTGATTGGGTGTCATACAGGAAATGTCGAATTACAGCTTTTGGGATTAGAACATTTTTGTGAAAATGACGAAAAATGAGCGAGACAGGTGTGTGGGAGTGTCCATACTAAAGTAGCGAACCACAATCTCGCTTCGAGGAATAATCTATAAAGGCTTCCAATAAAAGCTTGCAATATGTACATATATAATATTTACATAATGTATCCATCTATAAACAGTGACTCTTATCCTGAACTTTTATTAATGCATTAAGTGGTGGTGTCACCCTAATCAAATATTTATTGCTTCTGATTGCAGGTCAAAAAAGTCTTGAATTTACAATCTGAGACGAAAGCAAGTTATCACAAGTTGTGTTTGATCATAGGCCATATGAGAACTGACTGCTAATTGGACTGCAAATATACACTCCAAATAAATGAAAGGCATCCCCTTTTGGGTCCAGTTTACCATTTATTAGTGGTTGTACTTTATAGAACCAACAGTTCAATGTATAACCGAACCAAATGGCTCTTGGATATTAATCCTATTATAATAACGCCATGGCACTACATGGTATCATGGGTGTTTGATAGAACATCTTTCAAAAGAACCAGAAGAATCGACAATGAACCTCCCAGTGGTGGTGGTGCTACATAAAACCGGGATTGAAATATGGAACCTCTCAAACGAATGATGATGACAATTTGATTTTAAAATTAATTCAAATGACATCGATTACATTGCAAGTCAAAGTGTCAAAATGAATGAACAACACATTATTTAACAGATGAATGCAAACAAATGATGTCTCAGTGATGTTAATCCAATGTTTGGCGACTACATTTCAAACCAAAAACAAGATTACATACATGCATACATATACACTCACACACTCACACGCACGCGTTTTTTTTAGCATATTGGCATTCCTTTGCGAATGAGCATTGATAACATTCTTAATAATATAATTAAAGTATTCTAAAGACTGATTAAAATGACCTTCTAATTAATTTGAATTTCCCTTTAATATCTGTTGAACTTGCAGGCCAAAGTGCTGAATAAAAAAACAAACTATTGACTCAGTTGTTCATCCTAAAACAGACTCGTTGGTTGTTTAAACGGACAGTTGCTGTTAAGAAGCGACCATTGAAAAGAAAGAACAGGCCCACATTCATGTGTTTGTCAACCGGGGGGGATTTTTTTTCTTTTGCGTTGGGACTTAATGCGAACGTTCCTCTTCCTTCACGCAGAGCGAGACTGATGCTGTGCGTCTTGCCTTGCGTGACGTGGAGGATCTGTACTGCTGGAAGGCCGTGATTTGCTCAGATAAGCGTGGCCTGCTCTGGGAAGGACACACACACACA